ATTGAGCCTTCAGATATTTAAATATAGGCGAAATTATTGAGCCTTATAATTTAAGAATCTAAATATTCTATAAGATTTGAGATTTATCATTTCTTATCTATTCTCGAAGAGATTTATAAATCCATATTTCTTCGTAAGATTCGGGAATAATTTAGATATCATATAATTTTATCAAAAGCTATCTATCTATGATATCTATTTCTTTCAATAATTTAGATATCATAATAATCTTCTTATATGATTTAAATCATGATCTATATTAGAAGATCTAATTTTCAAGATTATTATCGAATTTCTTAATTTCGAACTTCTATCATGATATTATTTTATAATTTAATTAGATTTTGCCACGTATCATATTCTTTGATTCCTGCCGATTTTTCGATTTTCTTTCGCTCTAATGAGATGATACTAATCTTCGAATTTTTCCTAAAATGCTCAGAAGATCTATATTGAATCTTCATTATATCGTAAGTCTATCTATCTGCAGAAATATTGATATAGATAGATAGGAATATTACCTCTCCCAAGGGGTATTATGTTCATCATATATTCAGAATTAAAGAAATATATATCAAGTTTAAATCTTAAAAACGAGAAATAATTATATAATCTCAATTATATAATATATTAAATAATTCAAATATTTTGAGATTTTTTTAATTTATTCGATTTCGATCCAAATAGATAAAATATTAAATCAATTATTTTTCGAAAATAATATGAAAATTTCAATTCTTATTAATATAAATCTATGAGAAAAAGAACAATCCTTCAAAGAATATCATCATATATATCTAGAAATATCATGAATATATAATAAATTATACCTATCGCAATATTCGATTATCTTTCGCACTATTTCAACGAAGAAATACGATTAATGTTAGAAACAGAAATAGCAAGAATAATAAATATCGTCATCGATCTTGCAATCTAATATGTTCTAGACACGATAATAGATGATGAAAGCCATAGTAGATCACAAATAATAGCGATAATAAATACAAGACTTCCAAAACCGTAGAAACGGTCATCGATAAACATATTCCCAAATTTACGGAAATTCCGCGTCCATGAAATTCCGGAAATTATAAGTGATGATCTCGAGAAATAAGTTTCCCGAAATGTTTCAGAAATTTGGTGCAATTTGGGGACGAGTCATCCCAAATTATCCAAGAAATTTTGGGTCTCGCTAACAAGGCGTTTCTTGCCATCGTGGGGAAACGACTCCCGCAGAACATAATCGACAAATCGAGATTTGATATTATTCATCAGGATCGTACTCTGTATTTATAATATGTAAATGACCCGAACCCCTAGCCGTCAGGATTCGAGTTGCCGGGTTGGAGCGCAAAACAGATTCAATGATTTTGTGCAAAGTCTCCTAAACCCTAAACCCTAAACCCCTAAACCCCTAAACCCCTAAACCCCTAAACCCCTAAACCCTAAACCCTAAACCCTAAACCCCTAAACCCTAAACCCTAGTTGAATCCTGTTTTCTGTGCTCCGTGGAATGATCTGCTCCCCTTCAGGGGACGGCAGCTCTCCACACAAAATTGATACCACGCCTCTGTAGCCCTACCACAAGTATGGCTGTACATCCTCGTCAGTACTGCTTGCGGTGCTACGCAACCTACAGCATCAGAGCTATAGTTTCCGGTTTTGTAAACCATCACCATGATGATCCATCCGTCTATCTTGTCTTTGACTGTGTGCATGTGCGTATATAACACATCATGTATTTCCTACAACCTCTTCTGCAGTGTAAAAAAATAGCACCACAATGCCTCCGGTTCGAGGCTTGGCTCAAAGAACAGCGGCGTACACACTGAGTTTACAGGACACCCCGCGCTGCAAAAAGAAGCGCTACTCCTCATCGCACCATACACCTCAGTGGCTAAGGGTTTAGGGTTTAGGGTTTAGGGTCGTGCAAAGCATATAGTTTAGGATGTAGTAGCTCATGGCCCTACACCCAAGTTTCTGCCCAAAGCCCTGGACCCCCAAAATTTGGTGACTTTCACCGCTCATAACCCTGAACCCTAAACCCTAAACCCTCATGTTGCCGAAATCCAGGGTCCAACAAAAACCCGAACCTTTGAATTTCCGATCTTTGCATTGGCCGGGTCTAAGGATAGGTTCAGGATTCAGAAAGAGGTGCTTACGGTTTACATGATTAGAATCTAGGCTTCTGATCCAGGATGAAATTCTGAGGCATGAGACTCGGATCCCAAAGCCTAGATGTAGGGTAGAGAAGGATGTCAGGATGACTCTCTATCCTGCAAGACTTGAGACCTTGAGACAGTGAAGGGGGTCCTTGATATAATAAGCGCGAACATACCGCAAAATGCTACTTTCACGATTAAGGCTCCTCCTAAGGTTGCAAAGGAAATGTCAGCCGATATAGGGACGTCTAAGAGCCCTTCAAACAAAATGATCATAATGTAGGGGCCTTAATAATTAGAATAGGGTTTTGGGGGTTCCTTATTACAATTATAGTCATTATAGTATAATATACCCCAAAACCCTATGGTTAAGGCCCCTATATTACCCTTGACTAAACCAAGCCAGACTACGTAAACTAGGTTGAACCAAGCAAGATTTATTCTTCAGGTTCAGAGTAGCAAAGAGCAATGGGTTTAGGGGTTTAGGGTTAAGGGTTTTTGGGTTTAGGGTTTAATCTGAAAAGAAGGTTTCCGAAAATAGGGACCCCAATATAGTGCCCTAAATAGTAGGATCCTTATTATAAGGACCCCAAAATAAGGACCCCTTGTTTTCTGAAACTTCCATATGTAGGCCGCCCTAAACCCTAAACCCTAAACCCTAAACCCTAAACCGGCCGATACAGCTTTAGCCTGGGTGCAGCTGGTCGCTGAAAGGCAGCTTAAGGAGTCGCTCACCGATGCACCCATCACTTCTTCACCGGCTTCGCTGAAGCATTCCTTAGATGCTGAGTTCATAAGCCCAGAAAAGTGTACACTTTCAGTTTTAGAGTGGGGTTTAGGGTTTAGGGTAGGTAATATTATCCCAAAAAGTGTAGTAAAGTGTATCCACTCAGCTACTGAGATTCTTGAAGCCCTCCACCCAGTTGATGGCCCAGAAGTCGGAGGCGAGGGAGGGGTGGCAGATGTACTCGTAGGGCATGTAGAAGTAGCCCTTGTCGCCCCACCTTAAGACCGGATGCGTGGTGCATGGACTTAGGCATAAGACTCTGAGATCTACAAAACTAAACCTCAACTTTTAAGTGATGCAGATTGAAGTCAGGCGGGCTGCCCCTCTCCCCAGGAGTTGCGGACGATGAAGCACTGCTGGAAGTCGTCGTAGCCGACGGCAGTGACGGCATGGCCGCCCAGCTGCTGGTCGGTTGCCTGGGGCATCACCATTTTGCCGGTCCTGGCAACCTCCGCTGTCTGGAAGCTTGACAGGACGGCAAAGCCGAAGACAAACGGGTAGCCGCTCTTGATGCACATCTTCATCTGGCTCAAGTCCTGTGCAACGCGGGCGTAGCCCATGACCCTGCACTTCTGCGCGATGTCGTAGGCCTGCTGGTTGGGCTCCTGCTTGAAGAAGGTCGGGCCGTCGTCGTACTTCCAAACGCTCTCGGGGCACACGCCGACCTTGGACATCGTCTTGATGCCGTCGCGGATCATCGCTCCAGCATCCTGGTTCACGCTGCCCTCAACAAGGCGCTCGTTGTAGTAGATGAACAGCCGGCTTGGGGTGAAGTCGGCGAAGTCCTGTTCCAGTCAAGGCCAAGGAAAGGCCGGACTAACCTCCCAAACTCAAGAGATCGATCCACCCCTGTCGTGCCCTCCGGTTTCAGCGAGTAGGGAATCAATCATCCATACTTCACCCGGTGCGACTGAACCAAACTGTCCAAAGTTGTGTAGCGCATTTCTGGGGGAGATTTGGGTAGAAAATAAACTGTATCCCCCTCAACCAAAAAAAGGTCCCAAACACGTACCCCGACACGAGACAGGAACACCGGCCCCACAAAACCCCAGACTGCACACCTTGAAGGCAAACTGAAGATCGACTGCCGGTACCTGGCCCCGTCATCACTCGAATATCTTCTCAGACGTTGGACTGCGCATTTAACCACAACAAAAGCTTATCTCTGTTATTTGTGTCCTTGTTGTTCTCCACCTCCATCTTGTGCAGGGTGAAGTGGAAGGCCGCCGCCAACGCGTTCGCGGTGCAGCTACCAAGGTGGCCCTGGTCGAAGATAGGGAAGCCGCCTGACGGCAACAGTTCAACAGTTCAAAATTTGACAGAAGCTAATGCTAGTGTAGCAGTAGTAGTAGTAGTAGTAGTAGTAGTCGTCGTAGTAGTAGTAGTAGTAGTAGTAGTAGTCGTGGTGGTGGCGGTGGTGGTAGTGGTAGTGGTAGCAGCAGCAGGAGTAGTAATAACAGTAATAAAAACGATAGTAGAAGTAGTCGTCGTCGTCGTCGTCGTCATCGTCGTAGTAGTAGTAGTCGTCGTGGTGGTGGTGGTAGGAGGAGGAGGAGGAGGAGCGCAAGAAGCCTGAGGCCCTAAACATGCAAGCCACCAAGCCACAAAACAACAACAAACAAGTGCCGAACGTCAACCCAACTTAGATGCTTGCTTTCCTGCATGCCACTCGAATCACAAAAACCTGAACCCCTGTTGAATGCTTACCTATCCGAGTTTTCATATTCCTTGCTCCGAAACAGTCTGAGCATCATTGGTTTGGCTTTGGGGGTTCAGCTTCTTCTGCTTAGGAGCTTAGGGGCCTAAACCCTAAACCCTTGGGCCCTAATAATAGGCTGGGGACGTAGTGATTGAAATGGATGAGGCTTGGCTCATCTCGGCTCGATGGAGGCTTCATGCCATGGCTTCGGCTGCAGAGCTTTCGGAAGCTATTTTGCCTTTAGGCTTCAATTCTTGTCCTAGGCATGGAGGCCTCCGACCCCGAGATCATCCCCCTGGCAAAGGACCTCGGCACCTGACACCTGACGCCTGACACATGACCCTGGCGCGCGTGCCTGGCAGCCTGGGAATTTCTTGAAGCTACAAAGCAACGGAATCTTGTAGGACCCTTGTAGGAACCGCTTTGAAGCACCCTGCCAAGAAAGAAAGCTTATCGGCCCCGCCGTTCATTGGGCGCAGGTCGACCATCTCCTTCTGCCCCTCGGCCTTTCTCTTGATCCTTGGAGACTTCGTGGGTTCTCAAGGGGTAGGGTTTAGGGTTTAGGGTTTAGGGTTTAGGATAACCCCGAAACCCTTTCTGCCACTGCCACCTGCTAATGCTGCTACTACTGAACGGCTACGGATGGCACCAAGCCGCTTGCTAGGCGCCTCCACCTTCGGGAAGGTGACGTGAAGGTCACGGTGATCGGGCATGTCCTGCAATGGTTTAGGGTTTAGGGTTTAGGGCAATGCTCGGAGGGCTCAAGGCTTGAATCATGTCAGTTCCGGCTTGATACCTTGTGTACGATTCAGGGACTTGGGGCTTCCGGGAACAACAACTCTCGTGCTTTTGGGCCTTAGGCCAGGCTGTTCAGGGGCCCTAAACCCTAAACCCTAAACCCTAAACCTAGCCTTAGGCTGGGTTTTTCAGGGGCCTTTAAGCCAATTTGGGGCCCCAGATCGTGAGTCTGGTTCAGGAACGCAGAGTTGCCGAAACGCTGTCGGCTGGGAGACTACGGCCTTCACCTTGAAGTCGTACAGAACCCTGATACCTGTCGTCTCCATTGTAGTTCCTTATTTTGGGGATACCTTATAACATCCGTAATATATAAGTGGTTAAACCAATAAAAGGAGCTACAATGGAGACTATAGGTAGAGTCTTAGAAGCACAGAAACGCGCAAAAAAAGGGCCGGCGGGCATGGGACCGATTCGGTAAAGATGCTTCGACCAACAGAAACTGCCCCGTAAGGTTTTGGGTGAGGTTTAGGGTTTAGGGCGAGTCTAGGGTTTCGGATCTCGGGTTTAGAGCTTAGGGCTCAGAATTTAGGTTTTAGGGCGTGGGTCTTAGAAGGCTTGGGTCTTGGTAGCCAAGAGACTAGTTGGGCACATGGGCCCATAATCTTCAGATTCCCACAAGGTTAGGGTTCAGGGTTTAGGGTTTAGGGTTTAGGGTTTAGGGCCCATAGTCTTCAGATTCCCACAAGGTTAGGGTTTAGGGTTTAGGGTTTAGGGTTTAGGGTTTAGGGCCCATAGTCTTGAGATTCCCACAAGGCTAACTGGCACTCTTCAGTCAGAAATCAAGCCTGGTCTTGTATCGTTTAGGGTTTGGGGTTTAGGGTTTAGGGTTTAGGGTTTAACTTAGTTAGAAAAGGGCCTTCATTAGCTTCAGTACGCAGGGTTTTCTAGGGTATGTTATAATGTCACATATTATGACTATATCGGGACGGAAAGGACATTACGACTGTAAGCGATTCAGACCTCTATAACATCCTCCCAGCGTCTGAAGCCCAAGGCTCTGTAGTAGACAAGATCCACTGAACCTTGATACCCTGCAAATGGCCCCAATACCCTGCCCCCCAAACACTAAACCCCTAAACCCTAAACCCCTAAACCCCTAAACCCTAAACCCCTAAACCCTAAACCCTAAACCCCTAAACCCTAAACCCTAAACCTTAACCCAAGCTTCAGCCAAGATTCCGGCTTCCAGCCAAACTTCTGAATGGTGCGAGCCGGCACGCTGTCCATGGCGGATTTGCTTGGAACCCTGGCACGGCTTTGGGGTTTCGGGTTCCAGGCCCGAAGATCCTTCAAGGTAGGGTTTAGGGTTTAGGGTTTAGGGTTTAGGGTTTAGGGGTTCTGGGTTGAGGCTTTGGGTGTGCACAGAGCTTTCGAGAATTAGCAGATTCTGGGCTTCAGGGCTGTAGGGTTTGAGTTTTCGGGGTGAGGAGGTTTAAGCTCCATGCAGGCCCCCTTTTAGTGCGGATTTTGCGAAGTATCTTATGGAACCAGAGTTTGTGTGGGCACAGGAAAAGCCCTACGCGCACACAGTGCGAAATCGACACTTCTCAAGCATCTACTCTCACGTTCTTGGATTGAAACTTCACCTACTCGAGGCCGCAGACAAGTGCAGCCAAGCAGCGTGAACTCGGTCTTCTTTGCGTTCGAGAAGCCCTCCACCCAGTTGATGGCCCAGAAGTCGGAGGCGAGGTCAGGGTGGCAGATGTACTCGTAGGGCATGTAGAAGTAGCCCTTGTCGCCCCACCTTAAGACCGGATGCGTGGTGCATGGACTTCGGCATAAGACTCTGAGATCTACAAAACTAAACCTAAACTTTTAAGTGATGCAGATTGAAGTCAGGCGGGCTGCCCCTCTCCCCAGGAGTTGCGGACGATGAAGCACTGCTGGAAGTCGTCGTAGCCGACGGCAGTGACGGCATGGCCGCCCAGCTGCTGGTCGGTTGCCTGCGGCATCACCATTTTGCCGGTCCTGGCAACCTCCGCTGTCTGGAAGCTTGACAGGACGGCAAAGCCGAAGACGAACGGGTAGCCGCTCTTGATGCACATCTTCATCTGGCTCAAGTCCTGCATCACACGAGCGTATTGCTTGACCTTGCACTTCTGTGCGATGTCGTAAGCCTTTTCGTCTGGCTGCTGCTTGAAGAAATCCGGGCCGTCATCGTACTTCCAGACGCTCTCCGGGCACACGCCCACCTTGGACATCGTCTTGACGCCATCGCGGATCATCGCTCCAGCATCCCAGTTCACGGTGCCCTCAACAAGACGCTCGTTGTAGTAGATGAACAGCCGGCTTGGGGTGAAGTCGGCGAAGTCCTTCTCGCGACGCACTGCAGTAATTTGTCAGCTTCAACCTCTCGAACTTGCTATGCCTTCCTGTCCTACTTAGTCTCGCAATCGCGTGCTCTGCCGGAGCCTCTCAAGAAGCGGAAGTTACGGATCTCCAGAAAACATTCCGGGGCTTTAGGGTTGCAGATACATCTGCCCGCACGAAGACCACCACCAGACTGAATCGCACTCGATATCAAGCGTATCCGAAAGCAGCTTTCATATTTCCGGTCTCTGCTAGGGTTTAGGGTTTAGGATAGACTCTTAGACCATATCAAACTCATATGCAGCCCCAAACCGCCTAAGAGAGGACAACGTCATCTCAGAAAACTTGAAAGCTCGTTTTGGCATGATTATCCTTACAACGCAACATACCACAATAGATTTCTATATCCAAAGGTGGTTTAGGGGCTAGAAGTGCTGCGGGTCGTCCTTGCCATCCTCCACGTCCATCTTATGGAGCGTGAAATGGAAGGCGGCTGCCAAGGCGTTTGCCGTGCAGCTGCCCAGATGACCCTGGTCGAAGATAGGGAAGCCACCTGAGACCCCAACCCTACGACAATTAACATAGGGGCCTTAAAAGATACAATAGGGGAACGGGGCCGCGGCAGGGAGACTGTTCGGC